AACAATTTTGTAGATTAAATAAATAGACATGTTAAGCAGGGTGAGCATAATTCGTTTGTTGACTCTGTTCATTCGCATCTGAGGTGGTTTTCGCTGAAGGCGATAACGAGTCTTCAGAGCTTGTTCGTCCCCAGCTGGACATAGATGTCCGGGGGCTTATAACTTTGGTTCGGTGCGTACGTTTGCGCGTTCTTGATCATACCTTGGACACGACCCAATTCATGTACATAAGAGAAGTATTTTAAGGAATGTATGGTAAAAAGGATTTTTTTGGTCATTTTCGGTGAAAAAAATGTGCTACGTCGTTACTCTGAATCGCTTTGACTTTCACGAAATTAGATAAAAAGACGTGTCGCTGAAACGTATAGATACACCTTTTGACAAAACATTACATCTTTTGATCCCAAAATATACTTTATATGCGCAGATCCAAACACTAAATTGAAGGTTTACGCACAATACATTACATATGTTTATAGATACAACCAACATGTGTTAAGTGTGTCAAAACAATGGTTTGAAATAATGTTTCTGCAAAACTATTAAATGGGCCTATTTGGATCAAAAATATAACTTTTGGTGAGAAAATAGAGGGAAAATGGTGATTTGCCAGTTTTGGGGAATGTACAAACTTTACATATAGATATGCCGATAATAATAATAATATTGTTTTTTGATAGCCACACTTTTACAACGAAAGTCTAATGAAGACGTATATTTGGGGCAAAATATGCCATTTTTCGTCAAAACATGATGCCTTTGCTTGTTTTCGACAATCTATTGACCAATTTCATTTAAAAATTACATATAGGTAATTATATTACATTCATTGATAGACACACTTTCACAATCGAAATGTAATAAGATTGCCTATCTTGGTGAAAATATGTAACATTCGAAGGGTGAAAATTATGTAACATAAAGTGTCAATTTATGTAACATTTTTTAAAAAAATGTGTCCTCCAAACTAAACATGTCCATATTTTATGTAGAATGTATAACTTCAGTTTTATTTGTTGCAAAATAGAAGAATTGGCAAAAGCTTAATAAACAGTGTCTTTAAAGTGCATAGTTACGATTATCATGTGATGCCATGGTATATAGTGATTTATACAATGTATGTATGCAGTTCGAGCTGTACACTTCAGTTGGGAAAAATAGTCTATGCAGGATGAAGTGAAACCAAGATTCTTGGTAAGACATCCAAATTTCAAATGTAGTATACTTACTAGTTGATATGCTGAATATTCCCAAATGTCTTGTTGTCGTACCATATTTCAATCTAGCGATAATGTATACTGTGGTACATGGTTTGTATGGTCCAAGAACAACAGTGAAGGTTGGGTGTCCACGGTAGCTAAAAAATGGATTTCGTCGAATATTTATCCAGGTGCTCGGCATAGTAAGAAGACTGGTTGAATATTTTATTTGCATTATTCCATTGTGACAAAGGTTAGTGAAATCGATTATCCAGAATGGAATATGGTAGCATGTCGCCCATAGCACGTACGCGGTCAAACATTCTAATGATAGAGAATTATATACAAATGAGTTACATTTTCTGGAAACATACACATACACACGAAGAAAATATTATTTGTTTGGATATTGAAGGCACTGATATATTCAGTGTTAATGCTAAAAAACGACCTTGGCACACCGTCACATTAATCCTCAACTCGACATCTCCCGCCTGTCAATCAGGCTTAAATTCACTAGCTTAACCCTTAGCATTTAACCTGGGCTTGTGTCATTCGCTCAACAATTCACACCTTTGTGCATAACTAGCCCATGCTTTCTTTGTCCAAACACACTATCTCGCTGCCTCGCTGTATGCAACTTAGTCTCCCGCAATTCGCTTACAATGGTTCCAGCAAGAAAGAAGAGATCGCCAAAACGACCAGCACGCTTTACCAACGACGATGTTACAACTAGCCAACCTACCACAGCACGTCATCGCCGAGCAATGGCAGCACGATCAGCCGTCATTGCAACACTTTCAACTACACTACAGACTCATATCGCCGGAGATCAACCGTCACCAGCGCAGACTCTACAACCAAACAAGGGCAACACCACACCAAATGCATCAAATACTGTTACGATGTTCATGCAAGACCTTGAGGCTTTGATAGTTCGTGTACAAAACCAACAGTCTGCAGCTGAACCACTCGCTCAAAAAAACTCAACCGTCAACACAAACGAATCAACCACTCCACGATTTATTGTCTCCAGCTTCAACAACGAATTGTATCGACCTTACCCACGCCACTGCACCAGTGACGACAGAAAAAACCGCAACAGGACACCCAGCGCAAATGCTAAACAATCCCTCCACTATTACTCAGCTGCTCTAAGCAGCTGGCGGCGCACCAACGTCCAACAACAACATGGTTGCTCCTATTAACGTCAATACCGGCATTGAACCCGACTATACAGACATCAGTCAAGCCATCCTAGTCTACAACTACAACTCCGGACCACCAATCAGTGTTCTACCATCAGTTCCACCTCAGAGCTCCACCTACCATACATAGAACAATCAATGCTGAACGCACTTGTAAATCGGGGTAAGTTCATTGATCTTTCTACCCTGCATCCTGACAACCACCGAACAAAACTATACCCCACCAATTTTCTACACGTTTCGAATTGGACCCCGACAACCCATCTGTTGCTACAGTCACCTCTCAAAGTAAACTCAATTCCATTAACATGCTAGGAAGTTGGCTGTTTGCATTTGGATCATTTGCAGCCTATCGTGCCTTCTATTTCCCGCAAGAAGCAGTGCACCTCATCAATTATATTTTATTCATTGGCGAGAAATCCGACATCTACAAACCTGAAGCATGGCTCGCATACAATAAGGCTTTTCGCGAAAACGTATCCCGCTACCCCAATGTCCGCAATTGGAGCGTACCTGACACATCTATGGACTATACCTACTTTCAGCAGCACCCACATCTACTATTACCACTCTTTTATGAGTGTAGGTAACAGGGCCACACTAGACAAGAATGTCTAGCACTATGAGGCAAAACAACCAGCACCCAAAACAATTTCATTCAGCCACAAAACCATAGTGAATAACAAATACATCTGCAAAAAAAGTATGCTCAACACCATGCCCACACAGTCGTCAACACATCTGCAGCACCTGCGGGGGTCAGATCATCCATCACAAGACCAAACAGCAGGGCCTTGCAGCCCTTTTGGTAAAATGACAATATCCACCAACGTGATAAATACCATGTTCCCAACAACACCACTTAACCTCGAGAACTGCATAACCACCGAGACAAACACTTTGTCTCAGCAATTCTACTCGACATCTCTCAAGGCGCACCCTTGGCTTCACCGGTCACCACCATCTACGATACACTCGCAATGCTAAAACTGCAACATCCAACCCAACAGTTATAACAGAGGCAATCATGAAAGAAATCAAGCTAGGACATGCCATCGGCCCCTTTGAAAACACTTTCATAAACAAAGACCATTACTCATTGTCCTATTCCACGGTAGATGACGCAGTAGCACTCATCATGAAGCATGGTCCTGCCTTTTGGCCTACGATCAGCACCATACCTGTTCAACAGAATTGCAACAGCCATTGAATGGATAATACAATGCCGAGCCAATACCAAGAGACCTGCTACACTACCTTGATGACTTCTT